ATCATCAGTTGACCAGAAGATTGAGTGTGAACGCCCATACACATTGGCATCCTCCGTGGGAATTCTTGTTCTCCCAGCCCTGGATTGGGCCCCTGGCAGTGATGCAAGCACCCATCATCACTCAGCTGGACATTAGCAGAAAAGAGAGGTTGGAGAGAGTAAAGATAGGGAGGCCACTGGAATGTTTCTCACCTGCAGTCATTCAGATGCAAGACCCGAAGAGCCTGGAACAAAAGATTGGCCTTTGGGGCAGAGGGATTTGGGTAGGTAGGAGATGCAGCAGAGGTAAAGTCCACCGGGCACTGTCAGCTAATTGCTCACATGCTGGGATAAGGATCATGAGAAAGGGATGCAGACCTGAGAATCTTTCTTCTATCCTCCCCTTGGTAGCAAAGTTCCCATCCCCTCTGTGCTCCCAGAGAGTCTCCTTCCATTTACTCTAGGCATGAGTCTTACCATCTGACTAGACAATAAATTAGATGGAGACAGGAAACATGTCTGCTTGATCTTTCCTTTCCTAGCCTCCAGGTGCAGCAGCTAGCACCCAGTGGTTTATCAATACATGTTTACTGGTCCCTTCCTGCCCCGTGAGCAGGCTTCACATGTCTCCTTTACAGAACAGGACTCGGTAACACTCCAGAACACTCCTTTCCTTGGGCTTCTTGGTCAGTGTACATCCTTCCGTATCTGCTGTGTATTCAAGAGCTGCATGTTTCCCTGGACTGCAAATACCTTTTTACAATGAACCAATACTCTTCAGAATCTACTCCAAATTTTCCAGCAAGGTTTTCTCTTTTCATCTTACCCTACCACGCTGCCCCATCCCCCCATTCTGCCAAATCTAGCCTTCTTTTAACCTCATGTGTACGTTCTTCTTTGCTAGGGAATTTTATCTGTATTTTGGTCTATTATGACTATTTCTTAGTAAACATAGGAGAGAGCTTCTCTTTTTGTTTAAGTATGGAGTCCAGCACCATATGCTCTTAATGTTCATAGACGTTCATTCAGGGCCCTGCGGAAATATTTTTCTGTGCCTTAAAGTCAGTGAGGTTTGGTACAGGGTCTGTAATGGCTGAGTCCAATGCAGAGGGGTGTAGCTGTCTGCTAATTACTTGATACCTCATGTTTATCACTCTGATGAATGAAAAAGTTGTCTGCAAACACCACTGTTGAGTGGTAATGGAGAGCTCTGTAGCTTATCTTCCTGATATTCATAAATGTGGACCAGTTTCACCCAAGAGTACTTTCCTAACCACCTTAATTCAATTTGACTCTACCTAAGACATTGAATTTAACAAATGTTTCTTAAGCTCTGCTATAAAAGGGACTCTGACAACTTCCTGGCTTTTCATAGGATATTCAAAATCATTTTTGAAGTTAACCCCATGTCTTATTATTTCACTATTTAAGCTAAGTATCAACTGTAAACATAAAGATTTCACTGTTTAAGCTTCTTTTAATTTATTTCTGAAAATGTTTGGTAAGGAATTAAGCACTCCTTAATAAGAATGTTTTCCCATGACGCTTAATTTTATGTGTCGCGTTGGCTGGGTCATGGTGCCCAGACGTGCGGCCCAAGCATTATTCAGGATGTTTCTCTGAGGGTGTTTTGGATGCAATTAACATTTAAATTAGTGGACTTTGAGTAAAGCAGATTGCCCTCTCTACTGTAGGCGGGCTTCACTCAATCGGTTGAATAGAACAAAAGACTGATCACCTCCTCCCCTGATACAAGGGAGAATTCTGCCTGCAGTCTTTGGACTTGAACTGCAGCATTGGCTCTTCGCGGGGTCTCCAGCCTCTGGCAACCCTATTCTGCCTGCAGGCTTTGCTTGCCTGCCTCCATAATCATGTGAGCCAATTCTTAAAAATAAATGTATATATATACACACACACACACACACACACACACACACAATTAGTTGGTTTTTTTGTTTTTTTTTGTTTTTCCCTGGAGAATCCTAAATAATACACAATACACTCCCGTTCACCATCCAGGTCTTTGAGGTAGAAGATTTCATGTTGGCAGGAAGGAAACTTCGAGTAAAGTTCTGAAAGCTTATTGGAGATTCTGAGTAAAGATCTACAGAAGGAAGGGAAGAAAGGATGCTCTGGAGGTCTGATCCATGGCTAGGCAAATGACTTGGGGGAAAGAATCCCAGGAAGAGCTAAGGGAGAGAAATACAGTCTTATGATAGTATCCTAGAAATAATCTAAGATATTGCATAGGTCTCTGAGAGAGTATTAATAATCAATGCGATTTGATTAATCGACTTTAAGATATGTTGAAGTTGCGTTTTCAGGTTCTATTGTGTATATTTTCTGTGTGTTACTGTGTCGTTATCTTGTCCAAAGCCACAGGGGACTGGCAGAGCACCTACTCCACATTAAAACCATTTGTATGATATTGGCGTTGACATGATGCAAGGCACATAGTAGCCGCTCTGCTTGTCCACTGTTAATTCCAGTCTTTATTGCTCGCAGAAAGCAGTAAAGCTTTCCTTTTCTCCTCTGGCTCATACAGACATGCCCCAGTTTATGCAGTGAATGGGCTTCTGCAAAGGTACATATGTGATGCATACCTTTGTGAATTGCTTTATATTTGGAAGACACATTAGAGGAAGTGGCTGTTCCAAAGAAACTTTACAAGTATCCCATTTCTTAATGTCATAAGTCATTCTGATTCAAGATCGTAACATCTCTCTAATGTGTTAGCTTATGAAATTCTGGGTTTTGTTTTTAAGAGGTTTAATTAAAGCAAGATAAAACTACCTAATAACGTTCACTTCCCTGAAAGAGTTACTGTAGATACATCTAATGTATTACCAGAAGGTAGCTTAATGTCTGAAATAAATGCCAAGTTGTCCAAATCACACTGGTTGACAACTTAATTAGGTATAAATGTCATTATTATTCCTAATCTCCTGCATTTTTTAGGAAGAAAACATTCACACGGTGAAGGGAATCAGAATCTATTTTTATATCCCTAGAGTTATAAACATTTGTATCAAAATATTTACAATAATAGCATATGAAATATCAATCTATTGAAGAAGCCAAATACAGTACTAGAACAACCCACCAAAGTAATGCAAATTACATGAGACATAAATGGCACAGAAATAAAGTAAAAGACAAGGCAATACATGGTTCACCCCAGTCATCGTTCAACTTCCCAACACAATCCAAGTATCTCTTTTGGGTATATCTGATATGTAAGTATGTTTCTGCACAGAAGACAGCCTTCTAAAATCACGTGATGACTAAGTCCTAATTAAAAAGTTCACCAACCAACAGTTTTTGCTTGCCATCTCTCTACCCCCAGCCAAAGTAATCTGGTAGCCTGCCCTCAATATTCCCTTAGCCGGAATGAACACAAAGGAGTATACTTAGTCATGGTCCTTTTACATAAATACCACCAATCATGGCAGAACAACTCCCCAAAAAGGAAAATCATGTGAGAAATGGGATAAGGAGAGAGCTACGAAAGAGAAAGTAGGCAAGATGTCTCAGAGTCTCTGCGGGGTAGATCTTCTCAGGCGATAGAGGAAATGTCTTCCTAAAACAACCCCTTTAGACAGAGTCTGAGATGGCTTGAAACAGCTGCTCCAGGCCAGAGCAATGCCTGCTTAACCAGGAATAACATACTGCAACTAAGTCCTATATAGAAAAGCTCCTATGGCGACAGCCAGCCAGTTGCCATCTGATTGGGTACCACAAGAGTGTTTGCCTTTTTTTCTTTTTTCCTTAAAGAAAATATCTGCCCATCACCTATATTTTTATTTAACTCACGGGAATTTTCTAATTTTCCTGGGAATGCAGGCACTGTGTTCTTATCATGACCAAAATCTAGTATGCTTAACACTTCACAATTATATAGCACCTTTAACCCAAGGATCTATTTGGCTTTGGCTTGTGTGTGTTTTACGGAGCTTCCAGAACGGCCCTGCCTCACCTGTGAAGTGGGATAGGCAGGGCCTCTGAAAGGTGACCACTCCAGGCAGTGTCAAAGCGAGAGCAACCACTGAGCCTAGGGGGCCTGATCCCCAATGTGTAGAATTAGACAAAAGCTCCTCAAAAAGCTGTAATTTAGAGACAGAGTAATAAATCCTGTTACATGAGAGCCAGGTCCGTGTCTCTCCCATTAGGTACTTAAAAGAAATACTGATTGCACGGACAGGGGATCCTAAAAACATAACCCTACTGTAGCACTGTCACAAAACTGCCCCTTGGTCCCATAATTTGCGTGGTACTTTCACCACTGAATTGGTCATTAGTGGCTTTACAGAATCACCAGAGGAACTGCTTTGGCTTGAAGCAAGAGGCCTAGCAAAGTCCATAGCGAGAGGTCTCCATGAGGGACAGCCGTGTGAGGTCTTGTCTGAGTTCTGACCATCCCCTAGGCCTTCCACTGTGAAAAGTTCTCTTTCTTGGTTTAGCCAACCCACCAATTTGGCCCTAGGACTGTATCTGTTTCTCCCATCTTTGTCACAAATGCCACTGAGTTCCCTGGAGTTGAACATCTGTTTGGCTCGCTGGCCAAAGCCCCTCCTGCAGACCCTTCAGACTGGAATGTGATGTTTTGTTTTGGGTCAGAAAGGCGGGATGGCTTCCAGGCTTAGCATATTCAAACCCCAAAACAAGATCCGCTGGAACGTGTACCGCTAGCTGAACTTGATGCAATAGGTTTGAGGACCAAAGGGTGAGACCCAGAATTCAGCCTCAGGAGTGGAGCCAGTGGCGTGGCAGCTGATGGGGCCCCAGGCAGTGTGTGTAACTGAGGACAGCTGGAGGCCAAGTGTGGTGGCCGGAGAGAGGTTCTCTGGGGGCCACATCTCATCAAGGGAGCAGCAGAGTACTAGCCAACTACTATCTCCTAAGGGCAGGAGCTCAACCATAGAGAACCTCTTCAGGAATGGTTTGGATTTCAGCCTCTCCCACCCTTACTTCCCCTCCCCGCCCCCCTCCCCTCTCTTGGTTTTTCCTGCATAGCATCTTCCACTTCCCTCCCAGATTCAACAGCTTCCTTCTCCCCACCCCCCAGATCCCCACGAAGTTGTTCAGCTTTATTTCTTTCTCAGGACCAGATAGAGAATGCCAATGATGAAGCTAAAGCAGAAGCAGATCCAGGTCAGGATGAAGGAATAGCCATGGTGACTCTTCTGGAAGAAGGTTCCGTAACCATTGGCATAATGATGAGTATAGATGGACACTCCGACCATAATGCACAGCCCTGCAAGGGGGGGGGGGGGGAAATCGTTTAGGTTTGTTTGGTTTTTCTTTTCACACTAAAACAAAGAAAAAGATTGTGTAAGTTTTAAAAGATCCCATTTCCCTCATTGGGAAAATAAAATCTGGCCATTGAGCCCCAAAGTGTTGTGCTTCGGATTTGCCCTGAACCAACCTCGATGGCTGTGTTGATAAACTACAGGTGTCTGGCCTCTCATATCCCTACTGCTCTGAGGAGCTAAAAGTGAGGAGCAAAACACAGAACTTCATGTCCACCACTCAGCTTTCCCTTCTGGACCCCCGCATTTGTAGGCAGGCCACCCAGGATACAAAAGAACCCAGCCTCTCACCAAATTTGGCGTGTTTGGGAAGAATGATGAAAAATAAAAACAGTTCTGATGGCACGCACTGTCAGTGGCTTCATCTCTCTAAGGGCTGCCCACTTCCTGCGCTCAAGTGTCTACAAGTACTAGCAACAGGTCCGTCCAGCCACTTGGTAGCTCCGGAAGCCCCAGGTTTAAACAATGAAGCAACTGACCGTACTTATTCTAAGCAGCGATCAGGGGTTCTCAAAAAGAGAACAAACAACCAGGGAAGAAAATTGTCCAAAGCGGCTTCACTGAGCCATGTGCTTGTCTGTCTGAGTTGCCAGGAGCCCCCATGGTAAGACCTATGGAAGAGCTTTTCCTGCGTAAACGGGAGCCCCCACTGCGATACTCACAGCACACCAGCATAGTGGCCCCCGAGAGGAAGAAGCGGTTTCCTTTCTCCATGGTGAAGAGCTGGAACACGAAGACCACGAGAGAGATGACAGAGAAGATGATGGAGAGGATCATGAAAGCCTGCACGGACTTGAGGGCATCTGTGGACACAGGAGGAAGAGAACAAGGGCATTAGACTAACCGGTCCCCGACGGGCTGGGCATTTCCCTGATCACACGAATCGTCAGTACTGAGCACAGCCCTTTAATACATACCTTCATTGGCATATGACAGGGCTCCCTCACAGATGCCATTCGTACAGTTTTTCCAAAGGCCTACTGATGCTTTTGTGTCCTCTGAAACCACCCAGACCTGAAACCGAAAGGAAACAAATTCGTTTAAAAACGAATCCTCTGCTTTAAAAAAAAAAAAGAGAAATGAATCAGACTTGTGTCAGGATCAAACCTTAAGCAATATGCCAGATAGAGCCACAAATATGGCTCCGCACCCTATCCCTTGGTGGGAAAGAGGTCTGATTAAAACTAAAGTCACAGAGGTCCCAAGAGGAAAGATGGAAGATTGTGCGGCCAAAGAAAAATCACGTAGCTTCTCTGGGCTTCGCATTCCTCATTACTTAAAAATAAAAAGGAATTCAATCATAGTGGTTTAAAATTCTGAGATTCTAAGAAATAGAAACAATGGATGAGGTAATTAGTTTTAAGTCTGCACCATCCACATATTCTATCAAGATTGTTTCATGTAGGGACCTAAGGAGGATTTAAAAAAGTGCTCAATGGATCAACTGGAGGCAAAAAGGAAACATGGGGACTAAGAAAATAGCAGTGAGTCTGTGTGTCAAGAAGCCACTTTCATCTAAACAGAAGGATATGAGGGCCCCTGAAAGTAGAAGGGTGACCAAAATGTACTCCCCAAGGGTCACTGTGGTGCCAGTGTCCCTTCCCACATGGAGCAAGAAAAACGATTCTTCTTCTGAAAAACAAACACCCACTTCGTCCACACAGAGCACCTGTTAGAATGAGCATTGCTGGAAGGACACAGCCAAGAATCTGTGATCACCTGCTCTCGATTCAATAAACAGTGATGTGCCAAGCCCTGTATTAGGGGCTGATAACTTGGATTTTCAGCACTGTGGCCTCCATTTCCAGTTTGAAGTCATTTATCGGGCTGGTGATTCTGAGACACTTAGGGGTTTGTGTACAGAATGGTCAACCTACAGTCTGGTGGGGGCCTCCCGGGCGAGGAACCTGTCTTATCACAGTTATACTTAAATCCCATTTGTTCTTTAACTGTAACACGGCCCTAAAGAGATTCTGGAACTACCGTTTGGCTGTCTAGTGATGGGTGGCCTTGATTTTTTTTTTTTTTACTTTTTATTTTTATTTATTTATTTATTTATTTTTTATTTTTTTTATTTTTTATTTTTTATTTTTTTTTACAAATAGTTTATTGTCAGATTAGTTTCTACATAACACCCAGTGCTCATCCCCAAAGTGCCCTCCTCCATGCCCATCCCCCCCTCCCCCCCTCATCCATCAGTCCTCAGTTTTTGTCAGCATTCAAGAGTCTCTCATGGTTTGGGTGGCCTTGATTTTTGTGTGCCAGGAGCCGCCTGGGGAAAGCACGAGAAAAGCAAACCTGACGCTCTCACCCGCCACTAGAGGTCAGCGTAGCCCAAGCTTCGGAGGCGAAAGGCTACTGCTACCTCCGCATTTTTATGTTGTTTTGAGTGAGTTAATTCCGTGGAACCCGGTTAATCTCGCACAATGCCGCTTTCACGGGCTACTCTCAGCTCAGAATTTGAATGTGTCGTTCTAGCAACCACAGCGGATCCTTTCTCTCCCATCTACCCTTCTAACCAAGGTTCCCAGGAGGAAGAGTTCTGCTCCGGCTGCGTACACGGGTGCCCTCACTCGGCCCTGGCCGGGCGGGCATCCCTGCGCTCGCTCCGCACCCCCCGCCCTTCATCTTCTGCCAGGAGACCCCGCCCATCGGCCCATCCTGCAAGCTCCGCCTCCCGAGAAGATCCTGCTAGAGACCAAGGAGCCTCACTGTCTTCTCCCGCCCCTGGCGCGGTAGACACTCGTGTTGACACTGGCTTTTATCCCCCTGCGTTTTCGCCGTTCGAAGTGCGCGTGTGTGTTTATTTTTTCCCACAACGAAACTGTGTATTCACGAGGGGCAGGGGTTGTGGCTCAACCTGCTTTTGTAGCACTTTACGTAAACATCCAATGAGCTTCTGGGTGAATGAATGAAAAAAAAAAAGAACATTACTCACATTGGCAATGGTGGAGACGAACAGCATGATGACACTGGCGATGTGGACCACGAAGATACCAGCCAGTAATACCAACATCTTGGCTTTTTGATGCCTCACAAGCAGAGAGTGCTGAAAAAACAGAAGGTAAAGGAGGGCGAGAGGTTACTGTCAGATTCAATAAGACGATTCAGCTTTCCCACACATGTGGACTATCTGCTAAAATCAGAAGGAGCTGCAATAAACATCATCACAATTTCATTATAAATTCCTAAACACATCTTGTTAATCTAGTTTCCTAAATGCCCTTTTGTCCATTTATATTTACCTCAATCTAAGCATAATTCTGCTCCTCAGGCATTTATATATATATACTCACCTCTCTAATACAGCCTGTTTCCAAAAAACCCCACATTTTATCACTGTTTGTGTTTTATTTTGTTTGTGTTTTAAGAATCAAAAGTAAAGCTTTGATTTTTAAAAGGCCTTTTCACGGTTGTAATTTCCAGGTCTCTGTGCAACAATGTCACATAAATTTCCATTTTCCACTAAGGAAGTGTCCATGCCTCTATCAGACAGCTCACCCAGCGATATTAATAGAAGTGGATTCCTTCTACAAACAGCAGCTATTACTCAATGCCCATAGACTGGGTGAGCTATAAAATGTGAGAGCCACAACTTCTGATATTATAATGTTGTTTGGTATTCAATAATTATAACCACCTAATTACCGTTTGACGGTCTGCTCGCCTACTGATTGAACTTTTCAGATTTGTATTACTGCACCTGAGCATTTGGGCTGTGTGTGTCTCATGGTAGGGACTCTGCTATTTGTCTCGGGCACAGTGCTGTATTTCTGTTGATGCACTATGTCGGTTCTGGGGCCTTAGAAACATGCAGCCTGAAACACCACTAAACGTGCCATCTATTTGTGCATGACGTTTACACAAAGTCCAGCCCTTCAGGACCCGATGGAGAAGACAGGCAAACGCATGAATCACATGGTAGGATTGGGAAGTAATTAGGCATTACAAACGGGTATGGATAACAGGAGCCCACAATCTCAGCAGAGGAGAGAAAGGGAGCCCATTGACCTTAAAATAAATAATAAAGAAGGGAGTCCATGGACCATAAAGAAAGTAGGGGGAATGCACATGGGAGTGGCCGTTCTGACTTATGTCAGCTGCAGAGGGAGTGCTTCATCATGCCCACGAGAGTTACGACGCAGTATCGGCTCAAGGGACTTCAAAAGGAAAGAGCTGGAAGGGGATGTGTGGACGTCCCCACCTAGGGAGGAGATGGTTGTGTACATCCTGCAATTGTCCTGCCTCTCTCGCACACTCCACCGAATTTAATTGAAGCTTTGAGCGTGCCTGAGCCACTTTCCTGCGGTCCCAGGTATTCAGTGGCCAGCCCTGATGCTATTGTCCCAACACTTCAGGTGCCTTTTATCTCCCCTCACTTTCCTCATCAGGTCCTCAAAGTCTAGGATGTTCTAAAACAAATAAACAGAAGCCCACAAAATCTAGAATGTTCGAATGTAACTGAGGGAGATTTGCTCTTCACAGGCCAGGAGTGAGAGGTGGACGCTGGCTTCCAATGTGCGCCCCAACCCTCTCCAAAAACCCCTGCCTTCCTTCCCAATCCCAACACGTCTCTTCAACCCAGACTGCTTTGTAGGAATGTGTCCAACTTCACTGTGAGTGACAAAAATCATGAAGTTTATCCTGCCGCCTCAGGGGAGAGCTTGGAGCTTTCATGCCTGCTACTAATAATCTTCCCACGCATTCAAATTCAGTTTTGCTTTTCGCAGGTTCGTGCATACCTCCACAGTTTTCTGCTTGACTTTAATGCCCAGTGAAAAGAGGTTTCTGAATTAAGCAGGTGGAATCAGATTCCTATAAAGTCACTTGACCTTTCAGTCTCAGTCTCCTCTAATATAAAGTGGGGACTGTGATGTTAATTGTACAGGGAGATAGGAGGGTTAAGCTGGATCGTGTATGTAAAACTAGCACAGTGCCTGCCACATGGCGGGTACTAATAGGGTTGCTTTGGTTGTGGCTATTTGCATTCCTATTTTTATTCTATGAAACTGAGAGTAGCTCTTGCCAATATAACAAGTCAGCCAACTAGGCTGCCCTATGTTACGAGTAGTAGGATATCCGTAATGTACTTCACAAAGCAGCGTGGACGGATCATTTTGGTCCCTTAGAAATTGTCATTGTGCCTAATACCTGCCCTGTGAGTCTGGAGTCTACTAAGAACCCACCCTCAGGAACCAAAAGGAGAACGCTCACTCTTCTCAACCCCGTCTGGACCATCCTTCTGACACCCCCAAAACTCACACCATCACTGGATCCTAATCTTGACCTTCGTGGGGAAAAGAAGTGGCTAACTTCGGGGGATTACAAATTATTACCTAACAAGTCATATGTTTAATTTTCCTTGGCCTCTATAAATACTTTTATTATTCCTTTGGCTTCTAACTGACAAACATCCTCCTTCCAAGAGCGGGAAGTGGCTGAGGGGCCACGAACGGAATACGGTACAGCAAATAAGCCTTCTTAAATGAGGTGGAGGAAACATTGTGAGCTCCCTGCCTTGCGTGCCGTTGGGAATTCAGTAGAAACTTCTGTCTCCTTGGGTTGCTATGTAACCCTCCAAAGTAAGTCTGATACCTTTCATCCCTGCTCAGCTTACATCCCCCGTTTTGATGACTTGACCATTATTGCCTTCCACCCACCCTTATCCCACTGCACACCCACCTCAGCTCATCCACCTTACCCTCTGCCCCCCAGCCTCTGGATCTCTCTCCTGATCTAGACGGTCATAGCTTTATGAAGGAGAGGTCCTATAGTGCTCTGTGTAGTGTTCCCTTTTGCGAGGGCCTGGTACCTCCCCATGTGTTTTGTGTGTGCTCTGCTGTTTTGTCCAGGCTGCTTCGACCTTCAGGTCAGTCGTTTGCAGATGCTCTCTTTGCCTGAGGTAAGCAGTGTTTGCTCCCTGGACTGAATGTGGCACAACTTAACTACGTGTGCTCTGGTCTGCTTGTGAAATGAGACCTGTAGCCACTGCAGCCAAAACCAAGGCTGGGTCTCACTCCTGATCTAAGCTAAAGCCCCACGTGATCATTCTTTCCCTGCCTGTGCGCAGGGTGGAGGAGTGGCTGGGGGAACAATCAAGTAAAGAAGTGACTCTCTTTCATCTTAGATTCCTGTGATTGTGCCACATCTATCCACCAAGGAAAGGAGCAAACCGTCTTGGATTAGCAAGAGTGCTTAGTGTATGGAACACATAATTCCCTCTGCTCTTGGTTGCTGTATCCAACCAGAAGAAGGGGGCATTTAGCTGGAGATAGCACATAATGCGTATAACGTCTCCATCTTTTCACAGCCTCCAGTTTGTCAGGTTTTATTAATGTCAGCCGTTGTCAGCTTAGGAGGGCTTCCATTGCTTTCAGTGGCCGTCCCCAACACATTTGGAAACAGGATAAGCTGTCTTCTTAAATTTCTGACCCGGATTGCTCTTCGTTACCCGGTCCTTCTACTAGAGTCCCCCCAGCAGAGAAACCCTCACCCAGAGGTGCGGTGCAGGGCAAATCTTTATACATTCATAGACAATCATTCTACCTAATGGATGAATATCTGGAAATACAACAGCAGAGCAAAATGGGAATAAATAACAGAACATCTCATGCTCTTAAAACTTCCACCCACCCTCTACCTGCACCTCAGCTCGCAGGGAGACTGATTCCTTGCTCTGGTATGTATCTTGCTTCATACAAAAGCACTGAAAATAGACCATTTCTGAATATTCATAGCATTGGAAATATTGACTGCGACAATCTTCTTTCTTGGCAGTTTGTTTCACTGAAACAATAATTGGCTTCTGCCTCACACCTCTCTAAAATGCTTTGGAAGGCACTCTTCAGTGAAAAGCATACTCTTAGTCACAGCTGGGCAGCTCAAACCGGGAAGTACCAAATAACAACATTGGGTTTCTGAATAACTAGGTGCAATGCCTACCCTTCAGAACATTTGGTGCACTGGGCAGTCCCAAAGTTTGTCAGTTGGTTGTTAGGAATTCCCATAACATTATTTATGATACTCAAACTCTTGGACCTAAGCCAACTGAGCTAGTACACTCAGTGCTCGTAAAGGCTCGGACATCCACTGACTGTTCCATATGAGCTGCCAGAAACATGTTTCTCCACCCATAATGGTAAGCACAGCAGGATTTCTTGAGACAGGGGTGCTCAGGGCTATGATTGGACTGAGTGGGAAACTGAGAAAAGTATGGGCGGCGTGAATTTTGACTCTAGAGAGAAGTTGAGTGTTCAGAGAAAAGGAAGTTCGAGATTTAGAACCACACATCAGCTCTCTGATATCCCTTTTCTGTTGTTCTTTATCCCTAACACACAGGCCAGCCAGTTGCCTTTCCGCCACCACCATCTTCTATTCCTGACCACGCTTCCCCTTTTCTTCTCAAAGTGCCCAGCCCACATAGGATCGGCAGTCTTTTTATGCCCCTAGACCCAATGCGAGCCTCACAACACCGACCATTCTAGGTTTGGATTAAGTTCTTTGCTAAAAGAAAAGTATCACAGTCCGTGAATATGACCTTGAGAATTCCAAATGCTGGCGATTGGAGCTGTAAATGACTAACTAATGTGGGGTGGGGGTAGGGGGAATAACTGTCCTCTCCAGTTGTCTCCATCCACTTAAATCTTTACTGCCTTCCTTTTATGTCCTCCGTCTCCCCTAAAATATGAAAGAATCAAAGGAACATAGCTCTTGAGACTGCTTTGCCTTCATTTTTAGGCTGCTCTGACCATGAGAAACCGATCAGGCTCCTGTGGACACCTTTCTTTTTCTGATGGGCACATAATACTGCAGAGATTTGGAAAATAACTGACTTCTAAAGGTACAGGAGTTTCGATGTTGGTAATTTAGCCTCATGGTTGTTAAGCTAGGGCCAGAGAAGTTCTTCCTGCCACAGAGTATGTGTGTTTATTGAACTGCTACTACCAGAGTCTGGGGGATTCAGTTCTCTAAGGGTGGTCTAAGTCACAATAACTGTTAGGAATAGGAATAGGAATAATGGGAATAACTGGAATAGGAAATAAAAATCCA